ATTTTTTTAAATTGAGCGAAAAAAATCATTATACAAGTATGACCTTTTATGCAAAGTTTTAAAAAATTTCACCGAAGGGAATTTTTAAAATGACCTGAAAAAGACAAATTTTGGGCTTTATTCTAAGCATGTTGTTGCCATGCCAACAGATTTTTAACACAAAAGTTGCAATTTGTAATGTTCAGGAGAACATTGTCAATGTGTCCAATAAATTTCGTTTTCATGTCATGTAAAGTAAAGAAACAGGAGTCTCCTGAATACTATAGTGTAGTAAATTAAAAAACCCTAGGGAGCCACCTTAAAGCATTTTTGCCCCATTTTTATTCCATATTCCATATCCAAAAGTGAAAATGAGCGATTTTTCAATTCACGTCTCAGTATATGTAATAAACAAATTATCAAAGGGGTACGAAGTCGAAGATAATGATGAATGTATAATTTTTACACCTACTATGTTTCAAGAAGCTCTCGATAGTTTTGCCAAAGATCATGGTGTTATATATAAAGTAGAGCCAGATGATTTGCATCAAAGGTTACAGCTTTACTTGGCTACCTCGCATGTTCCACCGCATGTACAATCTAAAATCGAAAGAATCATACAATATATTGAACGAAATTACGACGATTATATCGGCGTTAGCATTGTATACCCTGTGTAGAAAAAATGAGTGGACGTTTCGTAACTAATTTTATCAACCGATATATTGAAAATGTCAATTATAGACGGCAAAAACGTTTACCCACACAAAGCATTCGAAAATCAAAGCAATGTATTAGCGAAACATTATTGCAAAAAAGATGTCGAAAGCACACACACCAAAATGTTGGATTCACTTAGCAAAACAAGATAATCTATGTATTAAACCCTCACATATTATAAATGGTGGTAAAGGGTTTATAGTTGGAAAAAATCAATACCCCGCGGACAGATAATCTCAAAATATACCAGTAGACGACGTACAAAACCACAAATTGATAAAAAATATGGAAACGGTGTTGCAAAATATGCTTTATGTAACACAAGAGGGCAGTGTGTTTATGCAAATCATACTACCGATGCGGCGGCAAGATTTGCTAATGACTCCAGAGGTACACCATTTAAAAATAATAGTGTTATACTATCGAAACCGGTAAAGTGGTAAAATATTTGTTCAAGATTCGATCGCGCGTGATTGATTTTTTGTACCACGTGATCAAATTTTTTTATACCACGTGATTATATTTTTACGTCCCAGAGTTTGTAAACAATTTTTAAAGTATGTTTAACAAGAAAGGGCGCTTTCATCATCGTGGGAAGTCTCTTTCTGGTGAATTAAAAGGTGAGATTATTGATTCTGTGTTAGAGGCTGGTGGAGATAGTACAACGGGATATTTTCCTGGGAAATGGGACCATATAGGAACAAAACACAAGGTATACGGTAAAACTGTTAAGGACTTATGGCAGACATTTGTCAGTACTGGCGGTGTTCAGGGCGAATCAAAACCAAAAGGCAACATGTGCAAGCTCGGCAAGGGAGAATTGAATTTAATAGAGGCCATGAAGACCCAAAACCCGTCTGTATCGTATAAAGTTATAAAGGAAAACGTCCTTCTACACGGTAATCTTCCAACAGGCACTTCAACAACAGCTATAAGTCGGGCAGTCCGTTTATCAATGCTTCAAGGGAAAATGACCTGCAAGCGGTTAAGTCAGGCTAACGATAACAAGTTCACTGATGAAAATATTGACTACTGTCAGGACTTCTTAGATTACATGAGTCAAGTGGACCCGTATCGTTTGAAATTTTTCGACAAGAGTGGTGTCGAATTGCAGGACTGCAATAAGCATTACGGACACTCAGTTGTAAACACACCATGCGTTGAAGTTGGAAAATATCCACACTCACGAAATATCACCCTAAATTTATTAGTAGGACTCGAAGGAATTTTGTACGCTAATACCATCAATGGTTCTGCGGATACGTTCGATTTTCTCAATTTCTTTGACGAAGCGAGTAAAAACTTTCAAAGAAATGGCAATCCAGTGTTAACAAACGGGGATATAATTGTCATGGATAACTGTGCGATCCACCACAACGCTGGAGGTTTTGCCCTTGGGCATTGGTTAGATACAATGGGTATTGATGTCGTATACTTACCAACATACTCTCTCGAACTTAATCCTGTAGAACTTGTTTTTAATAAACTAAAAATTGTGTTGAAGAGAGAGGAAAGGCAGCCTGTTGTTCGTGTGAATTTGCACGCTGCGTTCGAAGAAATAACTGAGAACGATTTATTAGGTTTCTATAGATGCACTGACTATATTTTTGTATGAATAAAGTTTAATGGACGTTTTGTATCATTAATTTCATGCTTATTTTTTAAGTGCGGAAAAATATTTTGGTCAAACGAAAAATGAGTTGGCACGCGAGTTTCAGCATGAGAGTCTCATCGAACAACAACAACTCTCATGCCTCGGTTATACGAGATCAAGAGTTGCATGAGAGTTTATCACATTAAAATCGACATAGAAGTCTTCTTTGATTTACAAGTGAATTTAAACATTTACAATTACAACAGTACTATACAAGTGAGTTAAATCAATTACAGTAAATAACGTTTTGTATACTAATCACGCGGACACGGTAAACCGTGGATAATGTCAGTGCATGTCTATATCTATGAAAATTTGACTATAAATTCAACAGTTCATGTAAAAATACATAACTGTACAAACACAAACACAAACAACTAGGTAATAATTTCAATACAACTATACTATCTGTTCACTTATCATCAATTCCAAGCTGCAATGCAGCATGTGCCAGCAATTCCAAGTTGTTTTTTTTTCATGTTTTGTGTCACTTCATAATTATTGTGCGCGAGACTTTCGTTGTCATGTAAATAGCCATCAGTAACGCCATCGGTAATATTTTGTTCATATTCATCCAAATTAAAGTGAAATGGTAATGAATCCAAACTTTTCTGCATGCCTTTTGCAAGCTGAAAATCGTCTTCTTCTTCACGGGACTTTTTTCTCTGTGGAGAGTGCATAGGTGAGGAATCATCAGCACATTTTGTTTCCCCGTGGGGCCACGATATTCCACGGTCTTGTAAGGATTGCGAACAGACGTTTTTCCCGTCGCTGCCGCTGGTTCTTTGGTCTCCAAAAAATCTTCGATTTCTTCGATTGTTTCGCGAGCTTCATCTGCAGTTGGTATTTTGTCTTTAAATTCTTTCTCTAAAATTTTGCTGTCTTTGTTTATAAGACGCCAGTCTTCTATTTGGTTTCCATTTACAAAACGCAAATACTTTTCAGGATTACTTTTGATCAAAGTTTCTTTCACTCGTGCAGTATAGCGTTTAGCAACACTTGCACTCGACTTCTCCCTGTTTTTCAATTCATCTTTCATGGCTAGTAATGATTTGCGTTCTTCATTGAGCTGCTTGGTTTTTTGTTTGGCCGTCTGCTTGTCATCAGGATGTTTATCAATATTACCACAAAACAAGGAAGACGTGCATACCGTAGGATATGGGCAATTTAACCGATTATGTCCCTCCTTTCGGTGACACTTGTTGCAACATGGAAGCGAAGATGTCGAGGGAAGCGTTCTTCGCGCCGTATATTCTGCTAGCTCGTCCTCAAGACTTTCGATTTTTGCTTCCTGATTCTCTATTTTCCGTTTCTGATGTGCTATATACGACTCGATAGGACTCAAAACTATAGGGCCACTTGCACCGCTACTGTTGTAATTGAGCCTCTTTCGTGCAGGTTTTTCAGTGGGCTTGGGTTTGTTTTTTATATCATCAATAACGTTGACGTTCTTTGCGACCGTTGCTCGACTGTCAAATGTAGTCGTCTTATACGTACTACAGCTACCAGATGTTTGTACTAAGCCCTAAATTTAATTTAAAAAAACATTAAATGTGTTGTCATTATTGCGTGGAAACAGTGTTTAATTCGCGTGCAATCGTGCATACCTTTTTCACAATTTGTAGTTGCTGCTCGAGCAGGCGTCTTTCTCCTAGTTTTAATCGCTGATTTCCTTGTGTGGGAAACATTGTGTTAATGTCCTCATCTTCCATTACTTGTACTGACGCCATAGTAACAAAACCATTTTCTTCGAACTTTTTGTATAAATGCCCCAAATTAAAGCCTTCCAACCACTTCTTTGTTGGCGTTGTTCTCACAAACGCCATGTTGCCCGCTTCGAAAAAGTACGCGCCACGAGTGGAAAAATTTGATCACGTGGTACAAAAAATCGATTACGCGCGATCAAATCTTGAACAAACTTTTTACCACTTTACCGGTTTCGATAGTATAAAGACAGAGTGCTGTAGTTTTGATATGTTCACTTTACATGCATATATTGCACGTACATGGTACATACAATACCATCGTTCACAGGGTGTAGTAGCCTGCGATAACATCCCACTCATACTTTAAATTAAAGTACTTATTAAATATGTTCCGTTTAGTAAATAGCAACAAAACATATATAATAATATAATAACCAGGTCATCAACGTAACCATCAAATTAACCAGGTCATCAACGTAATTGGTTCGACTGTCACGCCTAGTTGATGTTCCTGAGCCTTTCTGTTCTTGTAACTGTTTAAATATTGTTGGACAGCACAAGCTTAATAAATAAATAAATAAAATAAGCTGGTGGTTCTGCATTAACATCGCTTCCTCCTTCATTATCTTGTTCGATATCAACTTCATCGTGGTCTTCATCTTCATCTTGTTCATTGTGGTCTAATTGTTCGTTTCAGTATCATTTTCCGCCTCGTGTATCTCCTCACCGTACGTCCCTTTTACTACTTTAGGGAATCCTGGATCCATATTCCTCGACTTTTGCTACCTGCTCGTCATAATCGGTCTCATATATAATCGGTCTCATATATCGTCGTTATATTCGGTCTCATATATAACGGGTGGGCTTTTCTTTAATATTATTTACCAGCTTTTTAAAACAAATTCTGGCGAAATGTCCTGTTTTCTTGCAACTGAGTCACACTTTTTCCCTAGAGCTGGGCATTCTCCTCTCGTTTTTTGTCGTCGATTACCACTGCGCAAGCATTGCTCTTTAATTGCCTTTGCTTTCATACTTGCCTTTCAGTTATGTCTCTTCCTTCCGTTAGTATGGGCCTTTAAATGGTTGTCGTTGCTTCCCTCTATTTAACTTCTCTTTCTCCCCGTCTTTTTTGTGCATGACTTCATTCATGGCCATGGCATCTTCTCTCTTTCGTGCTTTCATCAGTAGCTGATCAAGTGTCAGCTCCTTTTGCAAACATATTAATCGTAGCTGGTCGTCATGTAGGTTACTTATGATAAGACATTTTATCATTTTGTGTGCCAACCAGTTTGCAAAGTCGCATTTCCCGGCTGCTTTCCGTAGTATTGCTGCATAGTTCCCAGTCCTTTCGCTTTCTTCCGGTTTCACTCGCATGAGCTCAAATAAAGCGAAGTCATTTGACTTTCGAGGGAGAGAATATTGGTTTAATTTTTCCTTCAATTGTCGATAATCCGTCCACAAAAAAAAAAAAAACGCTTGACGGCCTTGTAGGGGATATAGTAGGGAATCATGGATATCCTCTACTTGTATTCCTGCATAAATCAGCAATGCCATTTGAATTGAATTTAATAATATCCATCTTTGGGATTTAAATTACAATGGATTTACATTGAGTCATAATAAATATGATCAATAATTACAGTTAAAAACTAATATTAAAAGTTGAATGTTATCAGATTTATATAACCAGATCTTGCAATAAAAGATTGCTTATGCCTCTCGGTTCTAGATAAAACTGTGTCAAAATGATTTTGTCTAAGTTCAGATGGGTATTCTCTAGGACCAGGCAGTAAGGTATGGCAAGGGTGGGTTGGTTCCGCTGGAATCGTTCTGATCTTTCGGATGGTTGTTAATTCACGCCTGCTTCTTAAAGAAGGCAGATAGTCTCTGTCCAGATCAAGAATTTTCAGGCTCCTCGTCTGTACACGTTCAATTTCTTGTTGTAAATATTCTGGAATTCCTGCCCAAACAGGCGATGTGTACTCTAATACTGGTCTAATTTTGGATATGGAAGTTGTCAATCCAACCTCTGGTGGTAATTGGGATTTTCTGCACTGTCTAAGATGGTATAATCTCTTGTTTGCTTTACATGTAATTTGGTCTACATGTTCATTCCATTTAAGATCATTTTGGCATGATAAACCCGGGAGCTTGAAACTGTTTACCCTTTCTACTTCTTCGTCATTAATTTGGATGCGAGGTGGTTCTGGGATTGAATCAGTGAAACAAAGCCACATATCCTTTGTTTTTTTTTTCAAAGCCATTTTATTGGTATCTGCCCATCCATTTAACCCATCAACAGCTTCTTGCATGGAGCTGCACGTATCCCTTTCAACAATCTGATACTGAGTGCAATCATCAGTATATTTGCATGCATTAATGTTTACAAGATTGGGTATACAGTATCCTCTAAATCATTAATATGTACGTTAAACAAGGTGGGCGATATAACTGAGCCCTGTGGTACGCCTAGAGGGACAAGGTTGTATTGATGATAGGGTACCATGTAAGTTAACTTGTTGTATTCTTCCAGTTAAAAAGCTTCTGATCCATAGCCAAAAACGGTTTGCTGAAATTTATAGAGGCTAGTTTTTCTAATAAGATGTTGTGATTCACCAGATCAAAGGCCTTTCGAAAATCTATAAATATGGCGTGGACACCTTTTCTACCCGACTGAGAATTATCCGTGGCATTGTACCAATTCTGTTTCGTAGATATTAGAGCAGAGGCAGTAGATCGGCCGCGAGCGAAAGCATGTTGATTATTCTTTATATTAAGATCCGATATATTTAATTGGAGTTGGAGTTTTCCAATAACTTCAGCCAGTTGTGGGAGGACGGATATTTGTCTAAAGTCATTTTCAACATCGCATGGGTTGCGGACTTTGGCAACTGGGGATATCAGCGCATGTTTGTATTGGCTTAGGTACTTGCATTGCTTTATACTGGCTGTAACAATATTATAAAACATCACTAAAACGCTTGAGTATCCAGGCAGGATTTTTGTCTACTCCGGTCGCTTTCCTGGGGTTTAGATGTTTTAGACAGTTCTTGGCTTGTCCAATAGATGGCAAAGGAGGTGTAATGTTCCTGAGTAATTGATCTTTTAGATTTTCCCTGGGTTTTATAAAAGCATGTTGTAATTTTTCAGCCAGTTCTAGTATATTATCATTTGACGTTTTTCCCAGTGGGTTATTTCCGTTGTTAATTCCTAGAAGTGAGAAAATGCACTTAAACCATTTAGCTGAATTTGTCGTGCGAAGATCTTTTGCTTTTGATCTGTAATAGGACGTTTTAGCCTTAGATGTAAGTCTTGAAACGGTAACGCATAATTGTTCATATCGCACATGATCATTACGAGAGAAGGCACGCTGTCTAGCTTTAATCTTTGTTTTGACGAAGCTTGTCATCCAGGGTTTATCCGAGGGGTGCATTCTGACTGTTCTTTCTGGAATAGTTTCATCCATAATTGTGAGCATACTTTCTTAATATCTACCTCTTCTGCGGCGTATGACATCAGACCAGTCTTCAAGTATACCTTTCTACTTAAAACAGCTAAATTTCCAGGCGTCAAAAGTCTTACATGTCTGGGGTAGGCTGGTGAAGGCATTGGTGATCAGAATGCCCAAGTGGTGGAAGATGGAGCGTCGGATTGTACATGTCTCGCATATTCGCCAGGACTTGGTCCAAGGTGTTATTTCCTCTAGTTGGAGCAAGGATAGATTTCTTAAGGTTAAAACAGTTACATAAACGGGTGAGGTTAGTTTGTTAAAATCTCCGGCAATTGCAATTGCGGACGATGGACGGTCACAGAGTAGTCTATCTAAATTTCGGGTAAGGTATTCAATCATGTCAGTTTCACAGTCAGCACTTTGGCCAGGAGGATAGTATACAATAGCAACTATGATGGAACTGAAGGGGTGCGGAGTTCTGGGTGGTCTAAGCAATAGCCATACCTCTTTATCATCTTCTTCTGCAGTCGTCAAGCGGCGGACAGGTATGCTTTGGTGCACGTAAGCTTAGCAAATACTCCACCACCCGGTGTAGATCTATCCCCGCGGAAAATAATATATTTGTTACCGATCGACATTGCCGAATCAGGAATGCTTGAAGATAGCCAGGATTCTGTAATCAATACCACTTCCGGATTATTATTTGTGACAAGTCCGTGTAATTCATCGATTTTGTTAGTTTGATATGGCATGCGTTTGTTCATAACATAAATGTCGGAAGGCTGAATTTCTCTAGGATTTCAATGTTAGTTTTAATCTGAATACAGTTCGATTTGGTATGACCTCTAGTGGCCAGACTGGTAGATTTAAAAATGGGGGTGATTCTGACGGGTATACTATTTAGTCCAGCGGAAAAGTAAAAAATCATGCACTTTGTGAAAACTGAAGAAAGCACCCAATTCACAGGAAGCGTAGACTTTAACATGATAATGAATCTTAGATATGGAGGCATCACCAAAATTGATGCTGACGGCTTAAAATTTAGGATTTCTTATATTCTCTTATTAACCCATTGAGCGCCAGCGCTCTCCCCTTGACGAGTAAAATCGTCTGGCGTTAGACAGAGTAAAATAGTCTGGCGTTAGACAGAGTAAAATACTAAAGTAGGGCCGTGGATCAGGGCAGGGGCGGATCTAGGATTTTTCGCACGTTAGTCAAAATGTTATGACGTCATCGATGACGCAAAACGTGATGACGTCATTTGACATGACGTCATTTGATGTCAGGATGATAGTCCAATTTTTGTGGAAGTATTATAGATATTTTGTTTTATCAAACTACAAATGCGTAAATGACATAATTTTCGTATCTGCCAATGTTCAGTATATAATATATTAATATATAGACTGTTTCGCCCTACAGTGTATACCTTGGCTCATCAGCATGCCTAGGAAACACGTTTTCCAAAAATAGTAAACCATGATCCAACAAGGCAACAAGGACAGCTCCTTCAAAAAGCTGAACACAGGCACAGGTTTCTGGCTCCTTAAAACCAGATTACTTGCCTTCACACCTTTTGCAAGAGCAAAAGGAGTTTTGCTAGAACTTAGAAATGGGTGATAATAAAATGAACAATGAACACCACCTAAAATGAGCAATCTGGTTTTAAGGTGCCATAAACCCACCTCGCACCTTTCACCGCAGCAAAAGGAGCTTGGTTAAAAATGGGTGACAATACGGGACATTTCATGGATTTGTAAATTGCCTTGTTTTTCCCTTTAGCCCCTTCCCCAGTCCTCCTAGCTATTACTATTTACTAACCTATGTCTAATCTAATTAAATTCGTCATCTTGTTATATACTGTCCACTATGAAAATGTATAATATCACAAGTGAAATGGTGCCTCAAAGCTGCAGCTTCAGTGGAAGCCAGCTTTTATTGAAAACAAGTTTGTTTTACCTGGCATTTTAAACATATTTTAATCACAGTCGATTCAAATACAAAATATTTCATTACAAATAACTATTACTTCACTTATCTAGTTATCTGAAATATTAAATTGGCAAGGTTTTTAACACAGTATTCTATTATTCCTATACTATGCTTATACATACTCTATATAGACAGTCACATACTATCAACATGGAGTTTGTCTGTCAGGGCCTGAAATAATGTTCCCAAAGTTCCCGATCATGGTGATCGGCAGTCATGACTTTCCCTGCTTTTTCAGGTTGGAAACCCAGCTTTTCC